TGATACTTCTGTCGAGGAGTTTCTGGTTCTCTGGTTCCTTCACCAACCTCCACAGAAATTACTCATCATTATTCAATTATCAACATGTAATATTTAGCAATTAAAAACAAAAAACTGTACACAAGTTATGAAATGTGAACATTTTATTTTACTTTAATGCTTTACACAAGATGCTGTATATTACCAATAAAATAACACAAAAAAAACACTTTTAGTCTAAAGGTACAAGTTAAAGTTTTATGTGAAATAAAACCTGAAATCCTGCAGATTTGTCTTCAATTACCAAAACTAAAAAAAATATTTAATGATGATCTGCATATTAAAATGTATACATTTCTACTTTCTACCTAACTGAACTAAATGAAGGTAATAGAAAATATTGATTTCTGAAATATTGTAGATATTAGCTTACTTGGTTATCATCCTTCAAGTATAATATTTAAATATATTTTCAAGTTTACACCAATACAGTAAAAACTGACATCAGTACAAAGTTGGTGCTTACAACCTTGTACGTAAACTCACTATTTCCCATTCTCCAGATCTTAGGTCATATCCCGTTTTTCTACTGCGTCCAATCCTGTCAGTAAAATCTTTATGAAAACAAACAGATTGTTAATATGTTTCACCATTTCTGGGAATAACTAAAAAGAATTTCATTTAGAAATGCAGACAATAATCTTTACATAAAATGGATTAATTTGTGTCAAATATAACTTGATTTATCATGACCAAGAACTAACATTTTTCTACCACAACCTGCAAACATATAACAACAAAAAAACATATTTCTTTCCTAGTTAGTTTTAACTCAAGCAAATAGTTATAACAAATGCCACAGATCATGCATTAAACTACAGAGAGTAAAAATCTAGATAAATTAAATGTTTCACGCCCAATTACAATATTCCTGACACCACCTGTAATCATATTCATCCAAAATTAAAACAATTTGTAAGTGATAGCTTATCCAAGCCTAACACCTTTAAAAAATTCTCTTACATCACCAATTATGTTTTCTAAAGCAGCACGGTACTCCAAATGTATAAAATTTTGTCATAAATTTTCAATGAAAACCAATAATTAGAACATTTTTAAAGGATATCTTCGCAATACTTCTATTAACACTTTTCAAAGGCTAATTGTTTTCAAACTTTTCACAATGGCACAGAAAATACCTTCGTTTGAGACTTGATGTTCGTTGCTAACACATTCTTAAAGAATTCTTTTATAAAACCCATCTTCATCAACATTGCTAATGTTTGTAATAACTGATTCAACTAGCTTGTAAAATTTGTATGTGGTGAACAAAGAAGCTTTTATTTAAATTATTTTGGACATTAACCAGTCAAACTAAACTTTTAACTGTCATGTTGGTTACGGTATTAGGTTAACTGACATCAGCAGTTTAAAAAACTGAAGAACGTGTCAAGAAAGTTTAATTTAATGATATTTAAAATCATATGACGACCTCTAACCAAACTGTAATCATATCTTGATGTAAAACGTAGACGTCTGTTTAAATGGACCCACCAATGTAGTGAATTCACTCAGTTTTATACTTCACAGTTCAAAGAATTAGATGGTAAGAAAGTTGATTGAATAATCTTACCTACATCAGATGCCTCTAAACTCTTTCCCTGAAACTTTCCAAAAGCTTCTCGTGCTGATACAGCCACTTTTTCGACACTTTCACTTTGGTCCTGTGATGTAAATTTACAAAATTATACTTCTGAACTGAAAATACTGTTACAGTATTTAAGGATTTCAAATTTAAACAATTAAAAATATACATAAAAAATTGTGTCTAGTAAAAACGTTATACTGGTTCATGCAAAGATTTCAAATTTAAACAATTAAAAATATACATAAAAAATTGTGTCTAGTAAAAACGTTATACTGGTTCATGCAAAGATTTCAAATTTAAACAATTAAAAATATACATAAAAAATTGTGTCTAGTAAAAACGTTATACTGGTTCATGCAAAGATTTCAAATTTAAACAATTAAAAATATACATAAAAAATTGTGTCTAGTAAAAACGTTATACTGGTTCATGCAAGGATTTCAAATTTAAACAATTAAAAATATACATAAAAAATTGTGTCTAGTAAAAACGTTATACTGGTTCATGCAATTAAACAAGTAAATAATGTTTTTTAATATGAATATATGTAAAAAAATAAGTTTAGACACTTGCCACTATTAGTTCTGAAGATAGCTGATCCGATTCTGGTAAATCACTTGTCTCGTAGACATCAGGTTGATCATGGGCCTAATAAAAAAAAGACAACTTTAAAATCATGAAGAGAAAACATAATGGAAGAAACTTTAAGTTCCTATTACTTTAATAAGCCAAGCAGTATTTAAGGATATCTATTAACTTTTTATACAGATATACATTGGAAATAATTATGGAAATACACAGATGATACACATACAGGATGATACACATAAACATCAGGTAATAATAAGTAAATGGAAAGTACAATACAATACACTACAGAAAACACAAATGTGAATAAATTATAAGTATATTAATATTTTGTAGTTATGTTAAATACTATATTAATATTTTGTATTTACGTTAAATAGTAAACTAATATTTTGTATTTACGTTAAATAGTAAACTAATATTTTGTATTTACGTTAAATAGTAAACTA